AAATCGAATGAGCTAAACAGGCCTTCATCGGAAAAGCAGTGGCCCAGGTCCGGCCAATACTGTATGGGCTGGGTTTGGGCCCATAGTGTCCATACGGCTGTCCATGTATNCATGTACGCGGTCGGGCTTCGGATTTTGCGAAAGCATTCGGGACTCCGCTATAAATAACCTGCAAACATGTAACTAAGTAGGATCATTGCTTTCATTAGTAGAGACAAACGTAATAGAAAAATGTAGTCACTATAGGTTTATCCTTTAAAAATAAAAATAAGACGAGTCTCGCCAAATAAATCACACATCGCCGGGGCCCTCAATAAAATGCATAACCATTGACTAGACTTTGGATTTGGCCGTTTAATGAACCTTCACGGCCTCTTCCCAAAATAACAATACGCTAGTTGCTTTAGGCGTGCCTTAATAATTGATTTGCCTTAAACTAGGGTGCACATTGATGTGACCCAAATCCAAATCTCAACGGAGTCAAAGTGTGTCGACAACCACAGGTACATTGATTGTAACCTGGTTCGAGATACATTTTTATAACGTTGCAATTTTTGATAAAAATAACAGTAAATAATAAAAGCGGTTAAAAGATAAAATTGGCACATAAGTTCACATTTGTATAAAATCAGATAATCAAGCCAAATACAACAGTTGAGCGACCGTGCTAGAACCACGGAACTCGGGAATGCCTAACACCTTCTCNNNNAAAATCAGATAATTAAGCCAAATATAACAGTTGAGCGACCGTGCTAGAACCACGGAACTCGGGAATGCCTAACACCTTCTCCCGGGTTAACAGAATTCCTTATCCGGATTTCTGGTACGCAGACTGTAGTATGGAGTCATTCTTTTCCTCGATTCGGGATTAAAATTGGTGACTTGGGACACCCTAAATCTCCCAAGTGGCGACTCTGAAATAAATAAACCAATCCCGTTTCGATTGTCCTTTAATTGGAAAAACTCCCTTGCGCCCTCTCGGGTGCGGAAAAAGGAGGTGTGACATTCCTCAATCTTCTCCGGGCTCGATCCTCTTGGAGAGCTCTTCGAGCATCCTCATAATGGTGGGGTTAGTCCCCGAGTTATTTCCATTCGATCTCTCCGGTTCTAGTTCAGCATGTCGAGTATTTTCATGTTCAGCTACGCTCGGAGTCTTATTCTGACTTTAAAGTTGAGCGATGGCGATTTGCTGAGTTTGCAGCATCTCGAATATCACTTGGAGGTTGATTCCCCCATCTCCCATTCTCGCGCTCCTTGGCCACCAGATCGGGCTTCCCTGCGTTCATTCCCTACGGGGTCTGTGTCTGAATCCGCGTTTAGAGCATTATGTGAACTGATATCAACTGGCTCCATAGTTGGCACTTCCTCAGGGTTTATTGGTGGTACACCGACTCCTATGTTGTTGTTTTCTCCAAAACCTTCGTTGCCATGAACATGTGCGTTTTGTGTGCTAGACATGTTTCAGCCTGAGAATCAAAAATCTTGACAAGAAAAAGTGTAAAAGCAACGTGTGTAATGAAAATCAGTAAAGAAATAATCACTATTATCTTTAGCCAACAAATAAACTTGATTTGTGATTTTAAAGATATGTGATTTAGTTCAATGCCAATTAATAATCAAGAAATATGAAGTAGAAATAAAAGATAGAAGTGAATCAAACCGGTGTTACTCAACAGCAGTGACCTTAAGCTTAGTGGCTTAGAGGTGGTGTTAGAACAGTAAGAACAATTAAGTAAGAAAAGTAAAGTAAGAACAATAGAGCTAAGGGCAATGCTGATGAACAATAGGCGAAAAGGTAGAGAGTATATTTTTTGCTCAATGATTAGATGATTTTACAAATGATTGGGGTCCCCTTTATATAGCAGGGGAACCCTAAATAAGGAATATTTCTATTTACAGTAAGGAATATTCTTGGTACAACTGTCTAACCGCCTAACACGGAGTCGTACAATCCTATTCCGGGATTTACGCCACGATCTTGGGGACGTGGCAGGAATCTAGCTCGTTCTAGTACAAATCCATAACGGTACTATTTCGGGGTCGAGCACACTCGACCTCGGTATGCATCTTGCTCCGCCTTCGAACTTGGGTCTGGTCCCCTAAGTTCGAACTTGATCTTGCCCGGACTTGGACTTAGGACGGGCCCTCGAGCCTATTAGTCGGAGGCATACGATTTTTGACCGTATACAAGATTACTTTTTTTCATTTTAGTCACATTAATAAATTAATACCCCATCATTTGTTGAAAAGTACACGTACTATAAAGATACTCATTAGATACGGAATACAATAATTTTTGTAGCCATTACTTATGTCCATAAATGTACCATATTTTCTTAATTGAAGAGGAGGAAGTTAGGTCCATAATTGAACAGAATTTAATATTTGGGTACGAACCTAAAAAAAGCTGTGCCCTCGTTATTATTGCTAATATCTATCATTATTAATAATACTTCTTCTATGTCAGTCTCAATCTAACCCCACTTGCCATTGGGAGTCTCACATGTGTACCATAAATAGTCAAATAATGTTACAAATATCTACGTACCTTTTTATATAGTTACGATCTGTTTATTTTTTTTTAAAAAAAATAGTATATGATTAGACCCATAAGCTGGGATTAGCAGTTTTTTTTTTTAATGGTGGAATCTGTATTAGCGGGGTTCATTCATGCTGTACTTAAGATTCTCTTAGTAAATTATTTTCTGTAAATAGTGTGACATACTGTAACACACTGTAATTGTTTTGGTCAGTTTGTTTTATTATCACTGATATATTCTATCTATCGTACACTAGGTTAAGTTTGGTTCTTTTAAAATTTTAGACATAAAATTAAATTTCAATCCTAAATTATTATATACGAATATATGATTTTACCTTAATTCAAATACTCGTATGGATTATGTTCAATGTGATCAGTAGCAACGCCAAAATTTCCTGCAAGTGTGTTCAAACTTGAAAGAAGAAATTGATATTCAGTATATGTTATACACATCTAAAATTTAATATTTTATTTATATACACAATATAATCCTTTCGAATAATGTACCTTCGTCCTTGAACCTAGTCAGTCAATCCGATTACTCATCCAACAATAATAACATATTCAGTCTAATTTCATAAACAGAGCGATCAGTCAATTCGGCGACTTTAAGAAATTTATGCCCTATCAGAAATAGAATACATGAAAGCAAAATGATGTTTATTATATATTTTGGGTCTTTCTTTTTCTAACTTTTTCCTTTAAGGGGACAGATGTAATTAGTTGAATATATTACATTGCCAACTACATCCCCAACTTGATTAGGTCTTTTTCAGTTCTCATCTAACACAAGGAATGTGCAGAGTAGTGGTGGTAAAATAAATTAAAAATTAATTATTCACCTATATTATTCATTAAAATTGGGTTGAATAATGAACATTTTAAAAGTGCGTCAAATATAAATAAGATTCATATTATCTACCTAAAAAATAAACAACCAATTAGTTTAATTTTTACATTTGCAAAAATATACATTGGGGGTTCCTCAAGTTTATGAGACTAGAAATTCTTCCAAAAGTAATCATATTCAAGAAGTCATGGATAATTTGTATATTCATATTATCGTCGGTTAACCCATTTTTTCCGTATTAAATATGGGTCGGGTGAGATAACTTATCTATTTTTGCATTACTCGTTTTCGACCCGTCCCATACAGCAGCGAAGCCACATGGTCACAAAGGTGGTCAACTGACCAGCCTTCGTCGAAAAATTTCATTGTGTATATAGGTAAAATATTACGTTTAGAGATATATAACATATATTGAACACCATTTATCGCAAATATTTTCACTTCTTTCAAATTTGAATACTCTTGAAAAAAATTCTAACTTCGCCATTGGTCCCATATACGACCTGACCCGCCCGTTTGCCACCTCTAAATTCTTACTATAAATTCTACTGTAACAATTTGTGTATGCATGTAGGACCAAAAAAAACTGAGTCACCTAGGAGGAACGTTCATCGTTATAGTCGACCATTGTTAAATCTACCTCGTAAAATATATACAATTAAATATTTTGTAGTAGTAGTACAGTCGTTACGTGGGATCCAGAACGTACAATGTGGGTGCAGTTTCTTTAGTGGGACCCAGGTAGCACAATACTCTCTGACCTTGACCCCACAGCTGACACTGACACAGTCTCTCATGTTTCATGGGTGTCAAATGTCATAGGGTGGGACAAAAGCATTTTCTTGAATTGCTTTGTGTAATCTGTAATAGTGAAATAAACATCAAAAAGAGAGAGGGGCCAAATGTGTTGAATCTGTCTCTTTCATTTCTTTTATAGTAGAATAGAATAGTAGAATATTATGGTAGGATTGGGTGAAATGGTGGGGTTGAAATTTCAGAACTAGTTGGTTAGACTTTTTGCTCTCTTAGCTTAGCAGAGAAAGGGAAAGAAAGAGAGAGAGTAAAAGTGTTGGAAAAGGGTAAAAGCTAAAGGCTTTTGGGTTTTTTTTCTCTCTTTTGTGTTTATTCATCTTCTTTGGGTTTCTTCTCTAATGGGTTCTTGTTAAAAAGTTGAAAACTTTACATCTAAGTTTCACACTGGTATTCAGATTTTGCTCAGCTCAGGTTTGTCTCTGTCTTTTTGTGTTCTTTTGTAGTAGCATTGAACATGCTCTTTGTTTGGTGTATATTCATTAGGGTGTGAAATGATTTTTTGATGTGTTTTTCATTCATTTCTTGAGCTTGATTTCTCGGCTGTTGTTTGGATATGTTGTCTTTCGGAAACAGCTCTCTACCTGCACAAAGTCAGGTAAGGTATGCGTACATACCTTAGATATCTTGAGCTTGATTTCTGTGTTTGTTTGTGCAAAAGGGTGTGAAATGGTTTTTTTTTTTATTCATTTCTTGAGCTTAAAATTCTTGGCTATGTGCTATGTGTGTGGATAGGTTGTCTTTCGGAAACAGCGTCTCTATCTTCACAAGATAGGGCTAAGGTCTGCGTACACACTACAAACACCAGGGAATATATTGGGCATGTTGTTATTGTTGTTGTCGTGTGTGTGGACAGGTTGTTGTTTGGTTTGTTACTATTGTGGTTTGTTTTTTAGATCTGTGTTGTTACTGTTACAGTTACTGTTTGATTCCCTCTCAGTTCTTTATTATCTTCCTTGCATGTATTTTTAAGCTCTGTTATTTGTTATAATGAGAAGGGTGTAGTTGTCTTGAAACTTTGGGAGTGTTACAAGTATTCTTTGTTGATAAGACTTTATTGGTTCACCATTTTCTCTTCATTATCCTTTTTTCAGTTCCTGGTAGCATGTGACATATTAAATTATCTAATAAGGCAAAGTTTTCTGATAAGCATTATAACCAATGTTGCACGGACTCTCCGAAAATGTTACCGGCTGCGTGTCGGATCCTCCAAAAGCAGTGTAGTTTTGGAGGATCTGACACGGGTGCGGCAGCACTTTGGAGAGTCCGCGCAGCATAGATTATAACTTATATAAATGGCAACTTGGATTCTTTGCAATGTGTTTGTGTTAATATGTTTATGAGCTCTTGAGTCATTTGTGATTGTGTTCTGTAATTCATTCTTCAGCTTGAATCTGCTTTTGAAGGGAAAACATACCATATTTGTTCAGCTGATCTGTAACTCATTGTACTTTACCGAAAAGAGTGCAATAGGAATGTGCTTATTTGTTATATTTTGAAGAATGTTGAAAGGGGAAATACCTCGTGATGAAACTAAAGTTTTCTTATTTAGTTTTTTGTTTTCTTGTCCATTGAACTTGTTCCAAACTCCAAAATACATTCTTCGTTGCACATCACAGTCGTGCTTTTGTTGTATCACTACTTTAGTAGTCAATCTTGCTAAAGAACTCTTGACAACGTGACAAGATGTCCTGTCTGTCGTGACTCTCACCACTTAGCAATCTGCAATCAAAAGTCCATTTTTTATGGCAATACCGCTGTGCTCGTGTTATATCATTTATAGGTCCCAATCTTGATAAAGAATCTGAAAAATGTAAGGAATGGTCTGTCTGTTGTGATTATCACTGCCGAAACTTGTCCAGAAAGAATAGTCCATAGTCTGTTGTTATTGTCACCATTTTGGAGTAAAGAATCACGTAAGGGAGGGGATGACATTGTGGCACACCTTTTTGCTACTCTTAAGTTAGGCTATTATTCAGTTGTTGAGGAATGAGAAACAATCTTTCGACATTTTCTTGTTGCTGGACATTGTAAAATGTTTGGGATGATTGAGTTACAAAATGTTTTGGAGGCCAAGGAGTGTGGTTAAAATCAGGTTTGGTTCAGCCCGAATTGATGGTTTCCTTAATTTGTTTCTAACATTTTCGTGACGATCCTCTGGAAAAATATGCCTCTAAGTGATAACAGTTTTTAACATTTGTGGTAGCGGCATTATCATTTTTCATATCAGTCAGAATATTGAGTGCCAATTCTTACTACTTAAAGTTATATATTTTGTCTCGTTAAATCACCACTTCACTCACACATGTTAGTTTTGCAGGCTTCAACACAATACGATTGTGTTATTTGAATCCAGCAAGCTGCTATGCGCTGTGTTGTTGTCTCGATAGAATTCTTCGATTCCTCTATGATTAATTCCCGAAGATGGTGAGACGTCAGCAATCGTCATTCTTACATTATTGATTATAGTGAACAGTCAGATAGCAGTTGTGACCTCAAAAACATGATTGAGCTTTTCATTTCTGGTCTTTGAAAGTTTTGCTGAGGGAACATTGTGCTTGCGAGGAGTATCCACATCGAAACCAACATTGTTGACAGTGGAATTTCCTTAGAACTAATCAAAAAGGGGAAACATTATAGTCGGGATACAAAAGCATCAAAAGTTGTGAAAATGAAGGGATGTGGTAAAATTAGTATTTCCTTACCTGACAAAAAGTGCCCAAAGAATGAAGCATCTTTTTCCAAACAAGATTTTGCAAACAGTACAAGGGAACAATCGTCTTGTATTTTAACTTGTGAAAAGGTCTCTACTGCTGCATGTGACATTAGTGATGAGCATGTGCATGTGACGTTAGGTTGTGGAAATCTTTTAGAACAGCAAAACATATCTGCAAAGAGTGATATCAGCTCAGAGGTAGAACGAGACAACAATGAAGGAGATGCCAGGAGAGCACTCGTAAATTCTGGAGAAAATGGATTAAGTTCCATTACACAAACGGAGTCTTCATGTTCTAACTCAGATGTAACTCATCAAGTTAATTCCTCAAGTCAGGAAACATCAACAGAAGCCAAAACATTCATGCAACAGAATGGAAGTGCTTCCGCACCGATTAGTTTCATTTCTAGTATGGAAGATCCAGTGACAAGCAGTGAAGCTTCAGGTTTGGCTGCACAAAATTCTGTTGGTAATGTTAAAGCTAACACTAAGGCATTGGTGGGGATGGTTAAGGACCAAAATTCCTTACATCTATCGACATGCAGTCATCAGCTGCGGAAAAATCATCGTGATAAGGTTAGTGGAGGTGTTGATTGTTCTGGTAACCATAACTGCTCAGCTCAAACAAACAAAGAAAGCCATTCACGTCATTTCTATTCCAAGGGGGAAGAAGAAGTTTTGCTGCATCTTCAATCAGAAAATAGATCGTCTTCATTGGAATCTGAAGAGATGGGGGATCCTGCAAAAAAGCTCGAGTTTAATGGTGGCCTGAAATCACCTGCTTGTCCACTCACAAAGTGTGAAATAGATCAGCGACAAACTTCAGTAGTCAATATGCTTGATTTGAATGAGGACGTCAACCAAAATGATTTGGATGATGATGCGAAGCAATCAAATGGTCAAAATATAGTGATACGAGTAGTAGCTAAATATGGAGTTCCTTTACCTCCCTTGTCTACGACTGTGAATTCATTGAAATTTGAAGGCAGGCTAGGCTGGAGGGGTACTGCTGCGACCAGTGCTTTTCGCCCTGCTGCTTCTTTATCCAAGAGTTCAGATTGGGACACGAAAAGAATTATGGAGTTTGACCTTAATGTTGCTGCTGCTTCAGAAGACGAATTGCCAAGTGAAAATAGGATTACATCAACTTTTAGAAGTTATTCTTCAAATCAAAGTTCAAAACAAGCAGAAAAGATGTTTAACTTTGACCTCAATTTGCTTGGCGATAATGCAGATGAGAAAAGTTCTTTTCCTGTGAAATCAGAAAAGTTGTCTTCATTTTCCCTGAATTTGAATGAAGATCCACAATTTCAGAAGAGAATTATAGAATCTGCAGCTTGTCCAGTCTTTTCCAGAGACGATCAAGACCTCAAGTTTGTTCGATTAGGTACCTGGGGAGACATGAAGAACTCGGGCCAGCCATTTCTAGTGGCTACACCTAATACGCAGCACACAGTGCAAAACATGGTGCCACTGCAGTCAAAGTTACCATACGCGGTCCAGATGTTACCATCTTATAGTAGTTACCCCTCCAACAATGGTCCGTTATATATTGCCCCATGCGCAAGAGATACACATGAAGGGGTCACATTCCCTCAGGTGCTCAATATGTCAACCTTTCCTGGGGGTCCATATCTCATCCACGGTCAACGTCCAGGTGGCGCCACAAGACTTGATGTAAATAGTGGACAAGTTTATTTGATGAATGGTTTAAGGAAGGATAATATTGCCACACACTTCTTTCCTATACAAAGTACAGAAGAGCAAAGGAAAGTTTACGAACAACCGTCTATGCCCATGAAGAGGAGGGAACCAGAGGGGGGATATGATTCTTTCCAGTCTGCTACTGCTTATAAACATAAAAATTAATGCTTTCTAAGCATCCATTTCACTTGGAAGTGCAAGCAAATCTGTCGTCTTAACCGAAATACAAGACATGCATGGAACTACTCATAGGTGGCTTTCTTATAGCCCCAGCTTTTCCCACAGGGCATAAAGAACTAGGTATCTCTTTTTGCTTCAGATTAGTTTTTCAGATATGTTCTGCAACTGGATTACCTTAGTGTTATTGTACATGAGACGATTTCATATTCTTGAAACTGTGGAATTGATGGTGATACAAGCAACAGAATTTGAAATCTTTACTGGCATCTGGATCTTTGGGCTTTTTGCATGCATTTTAGTTTCATGGTATTTCTGTTGATGGGCCTTCAAAAGCCCGATGCACAAAGCATCTTGCATTCACGCAGGGTTCAGGAAGGGTCTTCTCCAAGGGGTGCGATGGAGGTGATGCAAGCATCAGTGGTTGATTCTATGGCTCGAACTAGTGACCTATAGGTCACACGGAGACAACTTTACCATTGATGAGCCTTCAAAAGCAATTCTATACCTTTTAACTCCCCCTTCTGTTACCTCATTTAGTAAGGTAATCTTTGTTGCTACGTAGTGTAAGTCTGAAAATTTGTGAGGTCTTCCTATGTGAACTACTTGATCTGCGGAGAATAGTTTAAGGCAGCCCGGTGCACTAAGCTTCCGCTATACGCGGGGTCCGGGGAAGGGCCGGACCACATAATATACAGCCTTATCTTGCATTTTTGCAAGAAACTGTTTTCACGGCTCGAACCTGTGACCTCCTGGTAATATGGCAGCAACTTTATCAATTACGCCAAGGCTCCCCTTTGGAGAATATAGTTTACACTGGTGATTTTTCTGTCCAATGTCTTTGACTTGAGATGTAGTTTGTGTTGCTTGTGTAGTTTATGTCCCAATGATGGGGTAAGTATATTTGCTTGCAATGTATTTGTACTAATACAGACCATCATTGTTCATTGGATTAAATAAAGAGCTATTTATGTTTCTATCTTTTCTTTTTTTGGTTTTTAAGTTTAAAAAAAAAATTAGTGGTCCAAAAGTTAAAGACTCCAAAGTAAAATATGAAGAATATGTACTGCATAAAGTGTCCTTCATTTAGTTTTCTTTTGGATGGTAATGTATATACTACTAACAATTTTCCCAACCCTACCTCACTTTTCATAAGATAAAGATATTATACACTGATCTTCAAAATTCTTTTTGAAAGTGATGTGTCCATCTTTTACTTTGTCAATCATTCAAGAAAAATGGAAAATTAAAAACTAGAATAATGAACCAAAAAGTAAGAGAACTTCATCCATTCTTGCCCATCAACTTTTTTTCTTCTTTGATTTTCTTTTTCTACAGCGCCACTAGTGCATTTTGCTCCTATCAATATAAGTTGTTTAGCTTTACTATTTTTGTTGTCGTTATTTTTTTTGTTGTACAGTATTTTTATTATAATTTTTTTACTCTTATATTTTCAAACCTGTTTTGAAAAATAGGTTATTTTGAGCTAAAAGTCTATCAAAAACAGATTTATTATCCTACAAAAGGTAGGGATAAAGTTTGCGTACGCTTTGCGTAGCTCCACCTTCCCCGCACCTAACTTGTGGGATCATAGTGGATATATTGTTGTTGTTGTTCAAATCTAGGAGGGTTTAGGTGGAAACCATGATTCTTGTAATATTCACTTTAGTTGGTGGAATAATAGGATTATTTCTCTTTAATTATGATTATAGTTTCGTGGTTAACTAACCTCTGTGAGTACATTAGTATGCCATTTTTTTGTCGAAGGTGTGGCTCGAGTAAGTCGTCAATCTTGAAATCTCATCAATATCATCACTAATGATTAGTATGACTATGTGTCGTTTCTTTCACTATTGATCACCTTACTATAGTTTTCTGTTTTTATTTTGCTTTTATATGATTTTTTGGTACTGTTCCTTCGTATCTATATTTTCATTAATGTGATGCTTATGCTTTCCTGAGTCGAGGATCTATTGGAAACCACCTCTCTATCCTCACAAAGTAGGTGATAAGATATGCGTATACACTACCCTCCTCAGATCCCACAGTGTGGAATAATACTGGGTATATTGTTGTTGTTGAACATTTACTATGATCCGACTCGGCACATTCAATCATTGAATGATAAATCTCTTAAGGTAGACAGAATTTGCTAATCGAGTTTTTCACTAATTAATTTGCTACGTGTACTATGCATTAAATTGATCTATCTCTGCTCGGGTTACTAAATTTTACTTTTTATTACCTTTAGGATCGTTTGGTTAGGGGGATTAAGATTATATTCCCGTGATAGTATTTCAGATTGTATTTATTTCATGTTTGATTATGAATATTAATTAATACCGATTTAAACTTCATACCAAAATGATGGTATTAACTATATATTCCATATTGAAGGTGAGATATAACAATCTCAAAATTATAATCTTGAGATTGATAATACTTAGATATCCTGCTTTGAAATCAAACGATCCCTTAAAGAATTAAATAGGCAGCCGTCAGATTTAAGGGTAACTTATACGTTCACGAAACTCAATAACTTTTTCATGCATTAATAAATTTATTAAATATTTATAAATATAAGACCGCGAACACAATAACTGTTATAGGTTAAATTTGAGATTATTGTGAGAACTTATAAACTTTAAATTCTAGATATGGATGAGTTCATAACCTTTGAAGTAGGGACATATATTTGGCATTAATTTAAGCAAGCAATTCTTAGATTCAATAAATAGTCAAGCTGAAATTAGGTTATATGTTGAATTTTCGCCAAAAGCAAGTTAATTATATCCCAGATATGAATCATTTTATTTTCACTCTTTTGCAAATGGGATGTCTAGAATTTCTTAACCAAAGAAAAATGATGTTTCGAGTAAATAATTTAGGACTTAACTTGGATAGTATTTTATCTCAAAATTGAAGCAGTTAAAATCCTACACAGACACCCAGATACATATACATTGTTTATATATATACAGATCAAAGGAAAAAAAGCTCCATTATGGTAGAAGAGTAGTGAAGGAAATTTCACTACCTATAGAAATATTTTCACTGTCTTTATAATAGCATTTTGTCCAGGTATGGTAAGTATACTTTAATTTTCACTAGCTTTCTGGCCAGCATAACTTTTTAATTTTTAGAATTTTTTCATAATAATAATAATAATAATAATAATATTTTTTATAAAAAAAAAACGGATAGCATTTTCTGAAACAACTCTAGTATAATTTAAATCACTGACACTTGATATAGTTTAAAATTTTCCTATTTCTCACCAGACAGGTAAACATCTTATCAGTAACGGTATTCATACCGAAACAATAAGGGGTCGTTTGGTAGGGTGCATAAGAATAATGCTGAATATGGTGTATTAGTAATGCTGGTATTAGTTATGCTTGCATTAGTTATGCTGGTATTAGTTATGCTGACATATTTCTTATCAATTGTTTGGTTTGATGTATTAAAGCATTGCACAATTTCTAAAAGAATTGCTTGTTTACAAAAATACCCTCAAAACCAGTCCATCACTCTAAAACTTTTTAAAAGAAACATATGTTGAGAAATATTTTTATATGAAAAAGTTTAAAAAAATTATTTGATTTGTCTACTTATATTGTAATATAGAACTAAATATTTATATATAAAAAAAGGAAATATGCTAAGTATTTATTTATTTACTAGATATATAATTTTATTTCGCACTATTTGAATTATTTAAACTTGCATTAATATAATAACTAGCATATTTTAATCAAGCATAAATTTTGAAGGATAATTTTGTCTTTAACTAAGCTAATGCATGCATTAAAACTCATTGCATTGCTAATACCATGGTTTTCTATGCATTAGTTATGCATAGGATAATACCAAATAGGATGTATAACTAATGCTTGCATAACTAATG